TCCTCTGTCCCTTCCTCAGGGCCAAACCTGGCGTGGTGCTGGGATGCTGCCACCCTCGAAGGAGCGGCTCCGGGGGACCGGGGAGCGCCCGGGGGGGCGTCAGGCGAGACCCCCGCGGCAGAGCTGGCGGGTGCTGGCCGAGAGGAACCAGAGCGTGGCCCCCGTGGGCGTCTGGGTGGAGAGTGCCCCAGGGCAGCCGGAGGAGAGCCTGGCCTTTGTGAGTGCTGCCGCGGGGGTCCCGGGCACCATCTGGGCTGATGGGTCTCACCAGGGATGTCTCTAACCCTCCCAAGTTGTGCCAGCAAACCCTACGGGGGCGATGGGAGGCCGAAAACAAGCTTTTTCTCTGTTTGAAGGCAGCCAGGAACACTGCTCCTGAAAAGAATAATTTATTTTAATGGCTTTTAGTGGGGTCAAAAGCCACCGTGGTGTCCGTGCAGCCTGGCATCCCATTTACACAAACCCACAGCATCTTTCTGACTTGATTCTCCTCAAATAAACTGCATTTTTGGGGGAGAAACAAATTGGTTTTAAACATCAGTCAGGTGGAGAATCCAGCCAATGCTCTAATCAGAGCCGTTGATTGCTTAATTATTTGTATTGTGTGCTCTGCACTTTTAATTTTAGCTTTAAGATCTATAAATTTTCAACATATTACTAGAAGCTGCCTTCCAGTGTAGGTAGCACAGCTAAAACTTACCAGGTTTGTGCCCTCCGCCCCCCCAGTGTGAGTGTTTTCTCGCTATTCCCGGATGCTCCTTGGTTTATCAGCACCAGGTTTGGAACTCCACGCCATAGCTTTACATTTGAGGTGCCTGTGCCGTACCTGGCTGACCAGTCCCCCCTGTATCGATGCTGCTCTTCACCTTCCCATTCATCTGTAAGGGATGTTGGCGAGCTGAGATTTTATTCCACGTTGCTTATTTAAAAAAAATAAATAAGTTGAATGTTTCTGGGTCTGGAGCCAATCTCTGCTGTACCCTGTTAGAAACACTTAAGAAAATCTTTATCGATGTCTATCTCAGGGATTTCTGCTTTGAGGGTTATTATAAGAGGACTAAAAGTGCATTAAATATAGGATGATGAGTTCAGTCCCCTGTAATTAATGTCTAAACGTTACAGAAGCTCCTGCCCTTCTGAGATGATTTATTTCCATATTGTAATTTAAATCCTGAAAGGTTGAGATAATATATGGAAATGAATCATCTCCATATTCCACATAACTTCCACCTCGGCGCCGTGAAACTTCTGGGGGAGCCAAACTCTTCCTGACTGCTTCGGGTGGCCTGGGCGCTCCTGGTCCTCCCTGGGTGTGGGGGCTTTCAGGTGCCTTCAGGTGTGCATGAAGGTGCACAGGGTTATTGGAGCTTAATTAATATACTTTCATATGCCAGTGGATCATATTAAAAAATATATATTAATGCCTGCTACACCAGAATTGCTAATGAGGTTGCCAACGGGATGTGGAGCAAGCTGTCGATGGCACTCTTTCATGTAGCTCTGGCTTGGTTTCGTCATTAACAGTGCAGATTTCTCCCTGTCTTCATGCTTGTTTGGTTGTGCTGACCTTGCTTTGCTGCTGGTCACATTCCTGGCAGTCAGTGGGATGTAGGGAGCACCCAATCCAGCGTTTACTAAGTTGAGTCGAGTTCAGACTTGCCCCTTTCCTCCCATCCATTCAGACTCTGATTTTTCTTGCTTTAGGCCGTACTGCGGTGACAGCCAGGAGAGCAATACCAGTTTTCTTAAACTGTGGTAGTATCAGGATTGCTTGGCATGACTTCAAGTGAGAACCTTAAAAAAAACAAAAACAAACAAAAAAAACCACCCTGATTTTTTTTCTTTTTTTTTTTTTAGGTCATTGCTTTTAATCTTTTACTTCAGATGGTAAAAACGTTCTCGGAGCCACAGCCATGCCCGTGCTGCGCTCTGCAAACTGCTTCCCTGATACACTTCCAGCCTTGCTCTTGCAGAGCAATAATGGGATTAGAGGCCGGCCCATTCCTTTTGGATCCAGGCTTTGAATATTTGAGCATCCTTTCATGGGAGCAGGAGCTAGGAGTTGCTGCCTTATTTTTTCTTTCTGTGTGCGTTTGAAGAGAGGTAAAGGAGGAGGTGTGCACGTTCCGTATCTGGCTAGCTAGATTCGATCCAAGCTCATAATAATTGAGTAGACATTGTGCAAGCTGTTACTGCACAGATTTAGAAACAAAACATTGTTAAGTTTGCTCTGGATGTTGCTTTCCTGGCTTGTAGATGCAGGTGTTGGAAGGGAAGATGGAATACAAGCTGCTATAATGCTGCAACGTAGCAAAAAATTGTGTGAAATCTACTTTCACCTCTTGCAGGCTTCAGCATTTCAGGTGGAGGAGGAGCTGAAGGAGCAGCAACGGGAGAAGGCAGCCAGCCTGAGACGCTTCCAGGGAGAGGTGAAGCAGCGAGTGAACCAGCAGGTCAGGATGCGAAGAAAGCAGCAGCTGCAGAAGTCCTACGAAGCAGTAAGCAGATCTCTGTCCCTGCCTTGCCAGGAGTCTTGCAGGAGAAACTCCTCTGAAAACAGTGTAAATCAGACAAAAACCCACTAGACCTCCAGTCAAGGTGTTAATAAGAAAAAAAAGAGGAAACTCATGGTCATGGCAGACCCCGTGGCTGCAAACGGTGTCGCCTCAAGTGAGGTCAGTGTGGCACCTTGGTTTGCTCTGGCACTGAAGGTGCTTTAAGCCCTTTGCCTCCCTGCAGAAAGGTCACTGGCTCTCTTGGGCAGCTGAAGAACAGAGTCCCGGTGCCCTGTGCAGAATTGTGTGGAGTTTAAAAAATAGCCAGGCCAGAGTTGTGAATGATGTGGGTGTCTCCTGGCTGCATTTGAAACAAAGCAGCTTATTTCTGCTATCCCTCTTCCAAATAGTTCTCAAGCAACACTTTCACGCTGTCTCCACATTCCCATTTTCCCTGTGGGCTTGTTTTAGGTTATCCTGTGAATATATTTAATCCTTTGTGCTTTCAAACAACTGCCAGGGAGACTTGCCAGAAACTTGCTGTGGAGCAAGAAGGGAACGCACTGAAATGTCAACAGTTTTGGCTACCCCTGGGGTGTTTGGGCTGTTTCCAGGGCTTGGGAGGCATGGTTGAGTGGGGATGTCCTCACGTAACTCAGCTAGCACCGCTCCAGACTGAAAGCCCGCAGATGCCTTCAGCCCCTGAGAGCCCGCTGGCTCTTTGCGCCCCTCTCAGCGTGGAGAGCAAAAATGTCCATCTGAAGAAATGCCACCAAACTGAGCCAGCAACTCCTGCACAGCACGGGTGATGTCCTGCTAGGTGATGGTTAGAGATTTGCACGTGGCCTTTTAACTCTGGGGTCCGTGTCCTGGCAGGCAGAGAGGGAGAGCTGCATCGCCATGCAGTACTCAGACTCCGCACTGCGCTTGACGCCCCGGAAGAACACGTGCCTGTTTCGGAGCCACCCCGCGCCTGCCATCTGCGGTCCCAGCGCTCACACCCTCCCAGCACAGCGGCAAGGGATGCAAAGTGAGCCGTTCCAGTGGCAAGCTGCCAAGGTGAGCGGTTCTCCTCCTGCATTTTTCATCCCTGCTTCATCATGCCAGATGCTTGTGGTTTGAAATGAAGAACAGGCAATGTTTCTTTTTCTTTTACAACGCATCCCTAATATTTGTTTTTAATGTTGAATGAAACATTGGCTTACATTTTCACTCTGGTTTACTGACTATTGTTGTACTCCTCCATAGCACTCATCAGAGCATCAAAACGGGTAGTAGATGCCTTCTTGGAGGATGCTGTGGTTGAACTTGCCCCGCTGCTTGTAGATACAGTGAATTTTCCCTCTGCACACAGGGACTTGTTGCTGTGCAGGCATGTCGTGTCAGAGAGGTGGCACTAGGTGGTGCCACCTCATTGCAGCTTGTCTCCTACAGACTGGGAGTATGGGATCGCGAAATCTTGGAAAACCTGCCTTTAGGGACTGTTTTAAGCTTTTTTTAATAGTGATGCTTATGCTGCATTTGGCATTTTATAGAGCACATGTGTTCACCTAGGAGCTGGAGTTATTCTGGTTGAAGTACCGCTTCCCTTGGGGTGGAGCATCCCTTCTGCCTGGACACTGGCCAGGACAATCAGGGATCTTGGACTTCTGGCATCTCAGCAAAGTGGTTTGGGAGCAGATGAGCTGTAACCAAGCCCTTTACCTTGCCTGGATCAGGATTTCAGTGCATTGGGGCAGCTCTGAAAGACACCTTGGGTTGCAGGTTACCTTATAGCTATTTGTGAAGCTAAGTGTCTGTTGAGTTGCACTCCCTTGATAAAGGACCCTGGTTGGAGCAGGGTACATTAGGAGATCTGTTCTGTGCAGCTAAATTTGGTGGAAAGCAGCTAGTGACCGCTTCTTTCGTCTTGTCTTTACCTTCCCTCTTCATGGCAGCTTAGCAAAACCATGAAGCAAGTTCGGCGCAGGCTGGCGTCCTGCAAAACCATGCCCCAAGGAGCGGGTCTCCCCGAACTCGCAGGCGGAGTCTGGAGGCGAGAGGTGAGTGAGGGGTGCCTGGGGTGGGGTAAGAGGAATTACCTTGCAAACTGGTGAAGGTCTGGCTCTAATTAGCAAATCCAAAGTGTAGTTCAGTGAGTTTCTCCAGAATTGAAACAAACTGGGCTTTTGTGACCCACCTGATGATTAGCTCGTGGCTTTTGGTGGCCTGAGGGTTCTGTCCATCTGTTCTTGCTGCCTTTCAGAGAAGACAGCAGGATAAAGTGGGTGAAAACCTCTCTGTTTGCAGAGACAAACAAGAGAGAAACTAGGAAACAAGAATTTGAAAAAGATTTTTTTAAAGGCTGAGATTGTGATCTGGGTATCTGGGAAGAATGCGATGGTCAGCCCTTCCCTTAGGTGCCTTTATTTCTTCAACAAACCTCAACAACTCTTTCCCTTGCATCAATCCCTTGTTTCATGTGGGTGGCAAAGATCTGGAGGGTTTTCCTCACCCAGCGCTGGCTTCTGGTAGAGAATTGTTGGCACGCATCCGCTTTCCTCAAAGCGGAACATAGGACCCATGTAGGGAGGTCAGTCCCGAGTGCCTCACCTTTTGTTCTGTCGAATTTCATCCTGCTTTTGTCACTCCGGTTGTCAAGAACAGCTTTGTATTGCAGCTATTATCCTGGTTTCTATGCCAACACCTTTCTTAAACTGACGTACTTTGTCCATCCTGGAGAACACCAGCAGCAACCCCACCTGGTATTTTGTCTTCTGCCCCCTCCAGAGCCAGTTTCCTGCCCGTCTTGCAGTTCTTCATTCCCATGTCTTTCTTGGGTTCATCAAAGGTGAAGTAGATCTTGGCTGGCTGTTATCTAGAAAATACCTTTTATATAAGGGCTGGTCCGGCTCTTCCTCCTCTGTGTACTGTTGGATTTCTCTTCAAGGAAGTCAGCTTTGTGAACAAGAGTTACAGACACAGTATAATTATGGGCTCGAAAACCTCATTATCCATTTCCAACACTAAACATACCTTCTGTTTAAGTCTTCGATGCATTGAGGCTGCTCAGCAAGATGGAGTGATTCATTACTTTGCTATTAGCAGCACTAAAGCCGTGCATGAATAATACAGCTGCTGCCCCTGCAAGCCAGGGGGTTACAGAGGTAGCAAGTGGGATGCGTGGGAGTCCCGTGGCGAGTCATCCACAGCAGTGAGAAACAAGGCTGGGAGGGATTGGGGGCTATCCTCCCACCTGAACCTTACTGCAGCTGCAGTTAATCTATGCTCTCTTCAGACCTCTGGCAAGGAGGATTTAACAGCTTCCCTAAGCAATTTATTCCAGGAGGGATATATTGATTTATTGCGTTACTCTGTTTTATTACTCCAAGATAGTAGAGGGGAAAAAAAAGCTCTAGTATTAATCTGACTCTTTCTCCCTGTCTGAAGGTTTGCTATGTTCACAGCTAGGCAGGACAGCAGCTTGTTCCCTTCTCTTCAGATGCAAAAGGCTGGCTTGGATTTAACCACCCTGCTAATTGCTGCCATAGTGCACAGCCTTGCCCTTTGCCATAGTGCACTGCCTTGCCCTTTGCTTTTGTCCACGTAGAATTTTCTTGTGCTGTCTATTCCAGCTGATTTCTTTGGTTTGAACTCAAGCATTTTTAGCCTGTTCTCAAATACTTCTGCAACTTCAAGTGGCTTGGTGGGGTCTACATGTAATCAAGATGCTTCTTTCTTCTGTCATCCAGGCCAATAATGAAATTATCAAGGAGAGTCCACCTAGTTCTTACTCTATTTTTGTGCAGTGAACTTCTGAGACTGAATCTGGGTAGTGTTTTTCATCAGTATTGCACCTCCCATGTAACAGTTTCACCTAATAGATATTTCTTCACACAAGTATTGAATTAGGCCATGTCAAAAGCTAAGCTAAAATCGAGATGTCTTCTGCTGTGCTTTGCCTGAGGCCTCTTTCTTCTATTGCAGGAGAAATTCAAACCAGCTAGACGTGACTTGCTCTTGACAAATTTATGCTGGTTGCTGCTTATCTTGTTTTCTAGCAGCTTACAGGCGGTTTGCAAGGTGATTTCCTCTTGTTTTTCCAAAAGTCAGGCACTTAAACTCTTGAGGCTAAAATCTTCTTAGTATTTCCTTTTCCCCTCCTTTATTTAAAGATACACACTCATTGTGCCCTTTTCTGATAATCTGGACCTCCACAGATTTCGGGGAGAGGCTTGGGGAGACAACTGTTAGCAGCTCGTCTGCTACTCCTAACAGTAATCCAGGGCAGGTCCTGCCTGCTTAAAAACCTCGGCTTCTAGGAATAATCTGACTTTTTCTTCCCAATAATAATAATCCAAGATTTTTCTTGCTGCTGCTATTAGCTCAGAGCAAGCCTTTGGCTGAACATCAATGCCCAGAAGCATAAAACACTGTTGTTCTTGGTGTCCTCTGATAGCTGTCCTTCTTGAGTAGCGAGTCCTTTAGTCTCTCTTACTAAAGCCTGACTTGTTGCCTTGATCCCTCTTGTTTTACTTAGAGCTTTGGCCTTTCTGGCACTTGTTTTGTTTTTTTTTGTCCCCGTGTGCTTGTGTTGTCTCTTGCGTGATTCCTTCAGTAATCTGACCCGTGCTCCACTTCCGCTGTGCTCGCATGGATTGCAGGCACAAGAAGAGCTTGGGATTTAGCCAGGGTTGTCTCGCACTGCACTGCTTGTCTTGCCACTCTAGCTGGGTAGTTTGCATTTGCTCAGTTGAAAGCAACTGTTGCTTCTCCTTGAGTCCTGTTTTCCGCATTTTTCTTCTGTTTTTTTTTCTCCTTCTTCCCTCTAAGGAGTTGCATTCCCTGCGATCAATAATCCACGTTGCCAAAATTGTTGCTCTTCGTCTCTCCTAGAGATTTCTTTCCAGGTCAAAAACATTCAAAGAGTTTCCTCCCTGCTTTCCCAAGCATATACCTAGGTGGTAATTGCATGGAAATTACCTGTCTGGTGTTTCAGATGATCCTGTTCACCAAATCTTCAGCCGCTTTGCCTTAGGGTTTTGTAGACTCCTGTAGGTCCCCAGCATTACAGCACCCAAATTCTTTTCCCCGACAGATTGTTCCCCAAAGTTGGGGTTTTTTTCCACAGTTTCATTTCCTTCTACCTTCAGGGCTTCAGAACATCCGTACAAAGCAATAACTGTTCCTCTCTATTCCCTTGTCCTCACCGAAGCAGCTCTTCTGTGTTGTGTTTCTCTCATGACAGGGTTGATAGAGTAATTCCTATGTCTATCAAATAATTTCATGTTCAGACTAACTCCGGGCTTTCCTCCATCCTTCCTGTATTGCAGCAGAGTCATCTCAAGGGTTCCCTGGTGTGACCTGCTCTCCTCCTGTTGATCCATCCTCTCCCTCTGTCAGCAGTCCCACTCTTCCCTTCCTAGCATGCTGAAGGGACAGCAAGGCAGGGAAAAAAAAAAAAATCCTGGCTCTGAGCTTGCTTCTGGCATTTTGATTTTTTTAGTTTGCAGGAAACAATCTGCTGCCTCTCAAAATATTGTTAATTGGCACCAGGGAGCCTGCCCACTCCCCATCTGAAGGAGTACACTACGTGCTCATACTCCAGTGCCACTCCAGAGATCCCACCACCCCCCAACTCCTTGCAGTTGCAAAACAGTGCCTGGAGAGGTCTTTTCCTTGTCTTTCCTTTGCCCTGCACACATCTGTCCCTCTGTTTCTGCAGTTGGTGAGTAGGTAGTCACGAGTTACCCTGCTAAATTCAGATTTTTCTGGCTCTCGTGCCCTGCGGTGATGCTTGAACACGTTGCACTGCTGCCCGCCAGATCTCAGCTGACTCTACAGAATAAGTGCCCTCGAGTTAAAGCTACTTCTTACCCGTGCACAAGGATGTTGAATTTGCCCTCAGCACCAAAGCAGCCACATTTGAATTCCAGATTTACACTCGTCTCCTCCCTTCTTCTCCAGAAACCAGAGTCTTGCAAGACAGCCATGGTGCCCACAGAAGATGAGAGTGAGGAACTGCTTTTGGCAGGACATCATGATCTGCCAGCTGAACTGCAAGACCAGGGGACAGCCCCGCATCAGGCTGAGCAAGACGATGACTTCTACATCAAAATTGAATTTGAAAAAGTAAGACTCATATGGGGCTGGGCCAGTTGGTCTTAAGAGGTTCAAATCGTTGAGATTTGGGTTTATTTCAGCAGAGTCGGTGAGGCTGCTGTTGTAGTAGAGCAGTTGCTCCCTCAGGCCTGGTTAACTCTTAAGCCTACTGTCATCAAAACAGGCTCAAGAGCAGTGTCAAAGCTAAGTGAGAATGGCGGCTTCTGTTTCACTGCTTTCATCTTACAGCTGTGGCTTCAAAAGGGGTTTTATTTGTGCCTGCCTCGTGATGCCAGTTGGCTGGTGCTCAGCGGAAATCTGAAACTGAGTGTGTGCAATTGCATTGTACACTTAACCAAACTCCAGACTGCGGCTGGCGGGACCTGCAGCTGCCTCTGGTCCGGCTGCCCTGCTTGGAGGCAGCAGCAGGGTGGAAGAGCTGTGGATGGTGCATCAAATCAGCTGGAAACCTCCTAGAAAAGAGGGGGAAAAAAAAAAAAAAAAGAGCTTTTCATCAGAGGAATGAGCTGGCTGTGACAATTCCTGTGCCTTGAGCTGGTGAAACACCTCCCTTAGATGTAGCGTGAATCTGTCTGCTTGTGAGGACTGAGCTAATGTATTTATCGATTCCTCTTTTGTTTTCAGGCAGACTTTCATTAAGCATCTGAGGTGTTGAAACGTTTTGCCCTGATTACCTGGAGTAGTTAGCAAATACTTTATGGCTATAGCAGCATGTGCCCAACCTTAGCTGGTGATTAGTCCAGCTAGGAGCAGAAATACTGGCTTGACAAATATTGAGCCGAGGGAAGAAGGCGGAGCTTTACGCTGAGGTTTTGGGAGACTTGGCTGTTGAATTCCCCTGACGCTTTTGTTGTTTTTATTATTGTTATTTGTATTATTGGGGGTATTTTTTGCACTTCAAGAAGTTTTAATGGAAGTTTGGGAAGGAGAAGTGTGAATCCATATTTAAACTAAACCAGAAACCTCCTCCCAGGGTATCTCTAGAGGTGTTTTGACAAAGCTTTGGTGCTCAGGCTCCTGCATGGAGATGTTGCACGTGTCCGTCCTGTCTATAGTCAACCTATATCCCCCCAAAAAAGCACAGCTCATAGGTAGGTTACCTTTTGAGGACTGTAGGGATCATGCCTACGTGAGGACCCACCTCCAGCAAGGAGTATTTTATTGAGCGTAGATGAGAAACTTGACCGTAAAGGTGCTGATGCTGCTCTCTTACATTATCTTCCAGTTCTGTGATGGATCGGTGAAGGCCTCAAGCTTGCCTGAGCCTCCTCAGAGGCTGCACACCGATTACCAAGCTCCCCTCGTACTCTGGGCTGGTGCAGACCAAGAGGAAACCAAGAAGCAGGTTTGTCCGCTGGAGCCAAGTCCTCATTGTTTCATCTCCATTTCAGGACTGAGATGTATTGAGCATAGGGGATACTGCTAGCTCAGATAAGAAGCCTCAAGAGCAGCCTTAATGTATGAAGCATCTGCTAGGTTTATAAGTTTGTCAGTGTTGATGGTGTCTCAGGTCTTGGGCAAACATACCGTGTTCTTTCTTAACATCCGTCGTGACCGTAAGTGCAATCATTACGTGCTCCTCCCGCAAAATCTGGGATCTGAATAACATCGAAGGGTTGGAGGAGCAACGGGCTTTGTTCATTTTGCCTGGCAAAACAAAGGTGTCGCTTTCTGTAGTTGCATGGAGAGAGAGAGAACCTGCCAAAATGCTTAAAAAAAAAAAAACAACCAAAAAAAACAAGCCGCGCCTTATCTTGTTTGGGTATAAGGCTGGGAATGTAAGGTTTCTAACATATCAGCACCTAACAGGGATCGGGATGGTAGCTTTCAAGCACAGGCTGCAGACCTGTTGCCGAGTGTCTGATTTAATGACGAGAGCTTACCAGCCTGCGACCAGGACAGTTTGGCTCATGCTAGTCTAGGTGATACAAAGAGATGATGTTTCTCTTGGATGCCTAAGGAAGTGACTTTTATTTTCCTGCTTCCTTCTGACATGAAGAGGAACACTTCCTCTTCTTTTGTCAGCTTTCTTGAAGCTTACAGCGTAAAACTGGAAAGGACTTTGAAAGAGTTGTATTTTTTTGTTGTTTCTTACGTGCATTTTTCCAACAAGCTGATCCAAAATCCAGTTGTGGTTTCTAGATGGTGTGACAGCAGCTGGGGCTTGTCAGGCTGCTCCTTCCCCCAGCGGTTCCCTCTGCCCCTTGTTTTTTATCTCTGTGGCTCTGCTCCACCCTGAGATAACTGGTTTTGCAGCACTCTCTTCTGCGTGGGTTTTTTCCATCCAGCTTTGTCCACTTTCAGCCTGGTGATCTCTCCTGCTCCTTTATCTCCAGCTGTGCAGGGCTCTCTGCTGGGCGAGATGGACAAACTCAGCCCAGAACTCTTGGCGTTGGTGAGGAAAAACTCACGCCTTAAACTTTTTGGCATCGTGGAGCTCAAACTAGCTGTGTACCAACCAATTCCCATGTGGGTGGGAGGGCTTTTGGTGTGAGCTTTAGCCAGGAGGTTTCCCTCCCCTTGCTGCATTGGTGGAGTTAAGCCAAAGCCCAGACATGAAACCTCTTTGTGAGCTTAGATCCTGCAGGGCTCTTGGATCCCTGAACCACAGGACTCCCTCCTGTGTGGGAGTTGTTTCCTGCAGGGCTCTTGGATTTGTCTCAGCAATGACTTTGCCACCTCTGTGGTTCTCCTATATGTAGTGGGTCCAGCTCGGTGTTGTATGTTCATTTTTTTGGAGATACAGGCTTCCAGTGAACCGCAGAGGACCACCGGTCCCCAGGTGGATCGAAATTCTTGGACTGTGGCTTGTAGCGCTCTGGGGAAGTGGGTTGAAGTGGGAACCAGCTCTTTTACCCCCAGGAAAGCGAGAGTTTAGGAATTTGTCAGATGACAGAGCTTCCATCCATAGGACGGTTCAGTTGAGGGATGCTGATACAAAGCTCTCTGATACTCTGAGACATCTTGGTCCTCCTCTCCTAGCTAACCACAGTCTCTCCAGTTTCTCAGTCCTGGGGCATGTGCACTAGGAGATGTTTGAGGATCTCTTGGGGAAGGAGCAAGGTTTCTATCCTGACAGATGTGCGCTCTAGAAATCAAGCTGGGCGCTGATATCACTCAATATCAATCCCAGCCTGTCCCCAGCTGTCCTTCTCAAAGGCGCCTCTTCTTTCCCGCAGCGTCAGTATGAGTACCTGAGATACAGGCGCCTCTTCATGAACATCGAGCGAGAGCAAGTGAAGGAGCAGCAGAGGCAGAAAGAGAGGCAGAAGAGAATCATTGAGTGAGTATGTGCGGATGAGCGCCAGTGTCTTGGCGTCACCTCTTTCATCGCAGGCAGGGCCGCCCTTAAGGCCAGAAACGTCTTGTGTGCTTGTCTGGTGTGAACCAGGCAACGGGATTTTGGAAAGCACTTCTGCAGCCCAAATGGATGGATTGAAAAGGCCGCTTTATCAACTTTTTAAAAAGTGGAGAGTATGTTTCAAGAAGCTCCGCAGTACCAGTGCCAGTTATAAAGCCTGAGTTACCTCCTGGGTTTAGTTTAGTGCCCAATCTGTTAACCCTGGGGTGGGATTCATTCGACCAACCCCCACCAAGAGACACCCTTGGGCCATGTTGAGTCCTTCAGAGGTGCTCAGCACTTCTCTGTCTACTTTGTGAATCCCCTGCAGCTTGGGTAGGAGTTGGGAACCAAAACATCAGGCTGGGAGAGTTGTATGCAGCTCACCCAACCGTGATTCTTGGGAACGGATCCCAAGCCCCTCTGCTACAGTCCATGTCTAGAAACTTTGGGGTGAGGTCACATCATTGTTGTTAAACTGATCTTATCTCTGGGGCTTTTAATATCAGACCCTTCACCCTCACAACTATAAATGTATATGGTGTATTGAAAAGATTTCCCAGCATTTGTTCCAGAGTTGAAAAGTCGGTATCTGTGTAAAAGTATCAGTACTCATTTTGGTGGTTTAGTCAACGAACACCTTAAAAGGGAGAAGATAAGGAGGAGCTCTGCAAATTCACACCAGAATAGGAAAGAGACTCTAGGGGTTTTTTTTGTCTCTGCCTTGCTCTAAAATAAAACGATGTAGCTCTGACCATCTTGGTCTCTAATGCCTGCTCTGCAGTGGGCAGGTTTTGTGGGAGCAGGACAGGCACCCAAGGGCAGGATTTTCATGGTCACTTTTCAGAGAGAAATTGCCAGTCTAAAGAAACGCTCCTCCAGCCACATTCCTGACATATAAATTGGCACTCGGGAGCTTCGGAGATCTTTTCCTGCCCTGCAAGTGCTGGCAAGACACCAGGGATTTCCTAGTTAGTGTGATATCTTTTTATTATGTTTTTTTTTACCCCTGGTTGCAGGGGTGCTGCTAGAGCTGCAAGCTGCTTGGAGCGTATGTGGAAAAGGGCTGGTTTTGTAATTACTTAGCGTAAAGCCTTAAGTCGGCCTTGGCCTTAGTTTCTGTAGCAGAAGATTTATGGTGGGGTAGTTAAGGCTCTATTACCACTTCATTTAAAAAACATTTTGGAGTTTATAACCTGACTAGAGAAGTTTGGCTTCAGCACGTTCCTTCTGGATGTAAAGATTTGACCCCCCAAATGGAGTAACATCCGAAACGTCTCGTTCGATTACGCTTTCTCCCCCTGGCTTCTACCCAGCCTTGATTTTTTTTTTTTTTTTTTAAATTCCTTTTGGCAGTGATCAGCCTGTAACATGTTATTGCATTTGGTACTCATCAGTGGGAATAAAATGGCAGATGCTTCAGTTTAAAGTCTTTGTGCTTTGTAATTGCCGCTTGTCAAGGGAACGTGCTTTGTGTTTGGTGTGACTTATACAACCCAGATTCCACTGAAAGGACTGGAGTGCTGTGTAAGTGCAAGGGCGATTGAGGAGATAGAGGAAGATTTGATTAAAAATGCTTCTTAAAGCCTATTTTGGAGTAGGTGTGGGATCCTTGGAGCTTTTCTGCTATACCCAGCACTCTTCTGTGGCCCTGTTACGTTCCCCGTCCTGGAAGCTGCAAGGACAGCTTACAGTAGGATCCAAGCTGCCCCCTAATCAGAAGAAGTCTGAAGTGGGGAAGCTGAGCTGTTGGCCCTTCCTGGTGGATCTAAAAGATCCCAGGCACTGCTCTTGGTTTCAGAAGGACAGAAGAGCAGCTCTTTTGGGGAACTGCAGGTGGCACTTCTTAAATGGAGCATGTGTGAATGTGATGTGGGAGGGAGCTGGAAGGAGAAGTCCACGATGGTGAGAAGACTAGCAGGCAGGAGGAGGTCAAGGACAGGATCATCTAGATCCCCTTGCCCTGAGCTTACAACCAGGGGCTGGCAGGGAACGGAGGTTGGGATGGAGAAGCTCCTTCTCTAAGCATGTGTGTGCCTGCAGGATTAAGAGGAAGAAGGAGAACCAGCGCCGGGTGGAGGAGCAGAGGATGCAGGAGATGGCCGAGCAGCAAGAACCCTCCCCGGGAGAGGGAGCCTGCGAAACCCTGGCCCAGCTTAAACTGGAAGAGAGGAGAGCGAAGAAAGTTAAAGAAAAACAGCAGCGAAATAAGGAGTACATGAGGTACGGCTGGATCCCCTCTCCTTGTGCAGAGCTGGGTGTTACTGGCAAAGGTGAATATTTTATCCCTTGCAGGTACATTGAAGCTCTAAGAGCCCGGATGAGGGAGAAGATAAAACTGTATAACATTGACTTGCCCCCGCTGTGCTCCTGCGGGTCTGATTTCTGGGACTCCCACCCGGATACCTGTGCCAACAACTGCATCTTCTACAAAAACCACAAAGGTAGGAGCTTCTGCTTCTGGAGAGGAGGCACTAGACCTGGATCTCTGATTATATAGGAGAAATCAAACATGGCTAGATGTTTCCATGGTCCTGGGCTGCTGTGTAGAGATGCTCCTACAAATATACTCCTGAGAGGGCAAGTCAGGTGCTCTGCTACTTGTTTCTAACTCAGCCTTTTCCTCTGTCCCTTCAGGGACCTTAGTGGCATCCTCAGCAAAGCACCAGCCTCTATAAAGCATTAAATAATGCTGCTGTAATACGTATGTACGTTGGTAGGGGGAAAACCATAAGGAAAACGCTGCAAAACAGGCTCATTAGGGGCACAGAAAACCTCTGCCTTAAATCTTCTGCTGGGAGGATGCACAAAGGTGGTGGAAGTTGTCTTCATTAGGTGATGGATTGCTCTGATCTTGAGTACAGCTTGGAAAAATACCTGTCTGAGCAACTGGGAGTCATCTTCTGGGGTAAAAAAATAGAGAAATTGGGGCTTTACAAAAAAATCTTTAGCTTTCCTGCTTTGGCTTGCATGCTGCTTCATACTCAGGACCGTGCAGAGTGTGCAGACAAGCATGTGGAAAACTACAGGCATGTCTATCTATCTTAAAAAACAGTTCTTCTCTCTCTGCTTTACAGTAAAAGGCTGAACCTGAGCCCAGTTTCGGGCTGTAAGTGAAACTCTCATCTCTCAACACTGCTTCTTTCTCCCCTTCCTGCTCAGCCTACAGCCACGCTCTGCAGTCAGTCGTCTCGTCCTGCGACCCCACAGATGGGAGCCCCTCGGTGAGGCTGCAGCTCCGAGACCTGGCCGCTCTCTGTGCTCGCTCGGGGAAACATCTGTGACGAGGGCAGCCGCATCCCCCGTCCCCCCGGTGTATTTTGGTGACTGTTGTAAGTAGAGAGCAGGGCTGTGCCCTGTCCTGCCTGCTCCTGCCTGTCCCTCCGCTCCATCTGGCAGGACGGCGCCTTTGCTGTCCTACTCCTGGGGCTCAGGTTTAAGCTGCATCTCTCCCATTTTGCTCCCTGTGCGTGGTCGGCCAGACCAGGAGCGTGGGGCGATGGTCGGTGCGAAGGAGCCGATTGCTCCACCAGGCTGGTTTAGAGGGAGGCACTTGAATTCTGGCATTCAGTTGCGAAATAAACTGTTTGCAATTGTTGTTTGTCTCATTAGGAGTGTGAAATGAGAAATGAGGTGCCTGGGGTCAATATCTCTTAGGGTTAGAAACCCTTGTGGCTTCTAACCTCTTCCTTCCCACTCCCCTTCTCTCCATTGCTGTGTCACTCCCGCCAGCCCCTGCCTCTTGGGTCACGGTCCAGAGCCAGGTATTTATTGCTCCTTCGCTTTCTTCCAGGTGAGGACCTCTCCTCCACTAACGGCCACCTGACCCATGCTCCCACAGCCTCTATTTTGCTCCGGAAAGGAGCTTTTTCCTAGGAAAAATCTCTATTTAGCCTCCAGGTCAGTGACTACTGTGCTGCTTCAGCCCCTCAGCAGGGGTTGCTGGAAAAAGATCATTTTTACCAAAAATTACACTGGTGGAGTAACATGGTCCTTCTGCATGGAGGTTGCACCATAACCTGTCATTAATATTTACTGCTTGCCAGCCGCCCTCCTGTCACCTCTCCAATATTAACCACAGCAGGAAGGATGGGCGGCCAAGCATGCCGGATTATTTCTTTTGCCTGTTACCATCCCGCCGGGTGCGAAGCAAACCCACGACCCCGGTCCAGAGGTAGCATGGAGGTGCCAAGCCAGGGGATGCTCCTCCGTTCCCCTGGAGAATCATTCACCAACTTATTTGTGGCGGCCGGTGCTATTTATTAACCGCTATTTGCGTCAGGGGAAGACACCGTGGATCTAATAAGGGGTGTTGAGGTGGATTTGTGAAGGGCGGCAGGATCTGGCCCGGGAGGTTTTTGCATGTGCCAGGGCTGGGGAAGCAAAGGGCTAACGCTGCAAATGTGTGTTTTAACTGATTTCAGGGCAGGGCTTTGTGCTGGGGCAGCTGAGGACAAGCATTTCCTTGGCAGGTCCCCAGGCCTTTGCTTGCACCCTGGGGACCCCTGTTTCCAGCTCTCTGAAGGGGTCGGAGCGGCTCCCGAAGGGCGGTGGGCTGGTTCGGGGCTTAGTTCAAAGGAATGATGGTTAAATAAAGCCATTGCTGCTCCTCGACCTCACGATCTGGCTCTTGCTTGACTCTGTAAATGGGATCCTTTGGGGGGGGGGAATTTCTCCTGGTGTGAAACCTGTGGGAGAGGACAGCGGGACTCCCCAGATCCCTGCAAATAAATCCAAAAGCGTGGCTGGGGCGACTTAGCTGAAATCGGGGCACCAAAGCCCTTTGGGGGGCGAGGGAGCGGCAAAGTTAAAATCGGCCTTTTCTGTTGGAAAAACAGCATCTGGGGAAAACCCCGGAGCCCGGCGGAGGGTACCGGCTGCAGGTGACCCCCCCTCTTTAGGACTTGGCCCCCCTCCCCGGTGCCAAACTTTGCTTTTTCCCTCCTTCCCGCCGGACTTGAAGTCCGATTTTTTGTTTAGGCGGAGCCGGGGACGGAGGGGAAGCTCCGGTTTCGCACCTCGCCGTTGGAGGAGAGGACGGGCCGGGGGCACCCGGGGCGGGACCGAGGCCGAGGCCGGGGCCGGGGCGGGGAGCGGCGGGCCCCGCGGGGCGGTGAAAAGGAGCCGCGGCGGGGGACGAA